GCACCAAACAGTGACATGTTGTGGATGCATTTGTTTCTCAACAATCACTCGTGGATTTGCTGAACCCCAAATGTGACAATTTTGTCGATTAACCAAGCCATCAAGATGAAAATGAGCCTCATCGAAATTCAGCCACATTTATGCAAAACGGTCATGGAAAATTTCAACAAAAGAGTGCATATGTGCCAGCTAAGCCGTGGAGGCCATTTACCCAATGTGCTATTCCATATATAACCCTATTCTGTATACTTTATGAATCAATAAAAAAATTACAATTTTTCATTATAAACCTGTGTTTTCTATCAAAATTACTTCTTGCGTGAATTTTGGGACACCCTTTAAAAGCTTAAACCATGATAGTCCTCTATGATTTCAATATGCTTAGTGGTGATTTTTAGAAGATCAACTTTTTATGTTGCAGTGTATTTGGTTTTCATTTTTATGAATAATATTTTCATGTCCTTTTCTCCAAGTAACTAGAATATTGAGTTTCAGGTTATAGCATCTTAAGTTAATACAGCCCTGAAAATGACAGCTTTGCTATTACCAATAAATAAAATCAATGAAATTGGAATGCATTTTCTTCACATTGTGCTAATTTATGAACTATATTTTTAAAACATCTCCATTTATTACTATGAATTTTGAAGAGTTTTAAAAACAATATTACAATTTATAAACATACTATTTTAGGTATTTAAGATGTCATCAGACCTATCTTTTTTTAAAAATATATTTTATTGATTTTTTTTTTTTTTTTAAAGAGAGGAAGGGAGAGAGGGATAGTTAGAAATATCAATGAGAGAGAAACATCGACCGGCTTCCTCCTGCACATCCCCCACCGGGGATGTGCCGGCAACCACGGTACATGCCCTTGACCAGAATGGAACCTGAGACCCTTCAGTCCGCAGGCCGAGGCTCTATCCACTGAGCCAAACCGGTTAGGGCTGAGCAACAACACTTTTTACTTTTTATTAGTGAAATATTCAAACATACAGGAAATACACATAATCTTGATATTTGAAACAAGTCACATGTTTGTGTTATTTGCACTTAAAGTGTTCTTATTTATTTTTTTCTGCACTTAGTGTTTTGAAAGTAAATTCATTTCACCCAAAGTAGTTGCCACTTACATTCCTGACATAGTATTTTCTACTTAATGACAATGCCGTTGTCACCCCTAATGTTTCCTAGTCTCTTAAGTGCTGTTGGCGTGGTTGCCGAGGGACTATTTTGCATTGACAGCAAGCTTCAAAACTTCATATGTCAAATTTTCTGAAGGTGTTAATATGATAGATTGTTTATACTTAAAAATGTCAAATTGCGTGCCAAAAAAAGAGCATTTGGGAGAAGTTTTAATTCATTACTTTATATTGAAGAAAAGTGCTGCTGAAAGTTGTATACTTTGGGAAACTTATGGTGAACATGCTCCATGTGAAGATACTTGTGAATGCTGGTTTAAACGCTTTAAAAGTGATTTCGATGTGAAAGACAAAGGACATCCAGGTCAACCAAAGAAGTTTGAAGACCAATAATTATTCGCCTTATTAGATGAAGATGCGTGTCAAACTCAAAAACAACTTGGAGAAAGGTTAGACATTGCTCAGCAAACAATTTCCGATTGTTTACAAGCAATGAGAAAGATTTTAAAGGAAGGAAAATCGGTGCCACATCAACTGAGCGAAAGACAAATGGAAAACCGAAAAGTCATCGGTAAAATGCTGCTTCGGCGGCAAGAAAGAAAGTCTTTTTTGCATCGAATTGTGACCGGCAGTGAAAAGTGGATTTATTTTGAGAATCCCAAATGCACAAAATCATGGTTGATTCAGGTCAACCATCAACATTGACTGCAAGGCCAAATCGCTTTGGAAAGAAGATAATGTTCTGCGTTTGGAATCAGGAAGGTGTGGTGTATTATGAGCTTCTAAAACCAGGTGAAACTGTTAATACTGATCGATACCGACAACAAATAATCAATTTGAACCACACTTTGATCATAAAATGACCAGCATGGGCCAGAAGATACTGAAAAGTAATTTTGCTTCATGATGACCCACCATCACACACTTCAAAAACAGTTAAAGACACGTTAAAAGATCTTGCCTGGTAAGTATTAACCCACCTGCTGTATTCAGCAGATCTTGCTCCTTTAGATTACCACTTGTTCCGATCGATGGCACACGCACTTTCTGAGCAGCACTTCAAAATGTAGGAAGAGGTGGAAAATTGGGTCTCTGAATGGTTTGCTTCAAAACAAGAAAAGTTCTATTGGGATGGTATTCACAAATTACCGGAAAGATGGGAGAAATGTGTAGCTAGTGATGGTCATTATTTTGAATAAAGCACTT